CTTCCGTTTTCCGGGAGCTCCGCTACCACGTTGAGATGTAACCTGGGCGTGTATCCCCTCGCTAGGCGTACAGGAACACAGGCTCATAGGAGTCTCCTTTTACTACAGGCGCACAGCTGTAGATCGTACCCTACTAGAACCTTGAGCAACAGGCATGGATACAGGCAACTGACACGTGAAACATACAGGCACCTGGATGTGTAACAGCAGTGTTTCACCACCCCCCACCCCCCCCCCACCCCCGCAAGGCGGCCAGCGCCTGATGAAGCTGCGGATGTGGCTTTGCAATCGCACCTGCCAGGCGTTAATCTGGGACTATCGAAGACTACGCGGCATCGTGCAGCGGCGCCCGTCCGTGCTGTTCCCTCCTGCTTGCCGTTCCAGCCCTCCATCACGAAGCGCATGGACTGGATGGTCCTCGCCAGCGCTGGCCGGGCTTTCTGGCAGCGCTCAGAGCCAGTGCCCTTTTTTGCTGCGGCTCCCCTGGCCTCTCCATGAGCAGTGCCTTGAAGGAGTCCACGGGCATCTCCCGGTGCCCTCCGCAGACCTACGTCCCAGAGGCGGAACTGAAAGCGTGACATGCAGAGCCGAAAGCTCTCTGCCCCACGCCTGGCCGAAGAGGTGCCGGCAGGTGCTCTGGTTCAAGGGGAAGTGGATGGCCCTCAAAGAGACAAGCGAGCGCGGGCCCCGCGCGGGGTCCCGAAAGGCGGGCTGCTTGTGGCCGAGCTCGGCGCTTCAAGAGATCAGAGAACTTCAAGAAGCTCACCGAGGACTCGCCTCCAAGGGCGGGGAAAGGCGCCAAGGTGCCAAGGGAGTGCAGCCGCGGCCCTGGGCCCTAGGCTCCGGACCACTGCTCTGAATGGCCGCGTGGAGGCTTCCGAAGCGCTTCAGAAGCCGCATCTGCGCTCTTACTCTCGGGAGTGGAAAAGCTATACTGGCTCTGGGGGAAACCGGAAGCCTGCCACCTAGCCTAGAACAAGATTCAGGCAGGGCTAGGGCTGAGGTTCAGCATCGCACATTGCCACTTCTTGGTCTCGCCTCACTTCCGATCTTTGGGCGCTCTGCAAGGGCCCAGCGCTCAGCACATCGTTTCTATCTTTCTCTCTTTCCATTTCTCGAAGAGGCGCTCACTCGAATCATGGGCCGCACCCAATTCCCAGGGCCGCAAGTGCCGCACATGCGCCATATCTCCGGATGCCTTCACCTCCTCCCAGAAGTTCATCATCCTCGAGGCCAGGTCTAACACGGCGGGCCCGGGTTTTCGGGGACGGGACCGGAACGGACGGGATCTCTGGTCCGAGCAGCGCATCGGGAGTCCGGTTCGAGGGCACTTTCAGCAGCTCGCTCCACTCCTCGCAACACGAAAAACACACAAGATATCTGTATCCGCGCTGTGCGCGGCTGGGCTCGGGCGTCTGCCACGCCCGGCCCGGCCTCGCCGACGCGGATCTCGTGCTGCCTCGCCAGCTGCAGTGCCCTGGCTGCCTGGACCTCCGACTCCCGGCACAAGTCTCAGAGACCACGAAGGACACTTCCCCAATACAAAAGCACGAACACTCAAAATAGATTCAATAGCAACATCACCTGCAACTGCTTGCATCGTCGGGATCCTTTGCTTCCGCTTCTCGAGACGCTGCTAGATCTAGAAGCTGGACGGGAACATCTATGCAGCAGGCCTTTGCGAATTGTGCAGAGCCCGATTCTTGAGCGAAGCGAAGCCTTGGCATTCAACTCCTGCCGACGCTGCCGCCTTGTTGCATCCTCCTGAAACACTGCACAGCAGCACAGCACAGCTCTGTGCAATTCCGGCCGGGGCACTCATCTGCTCGATCGTGGGAAGAGAGGAGTCGGAGTGTGTGAGAGTGTGGGAGGGGGCGGAGGTGGTAGTCGCAGTAGTCACTAGTCTCACATGGGTCTAGGAGATGGAGCCGTAGCCGTAGCTTAGGCGATCCGGCACGCGAAAGGAGCTAGCAGCATGCTTCAGGCATTTGTTCTCTCTCTGACTAAGCATCTATAGTCTAGTCCAGACGTCACGTCTTGGACGACCACTTCAACCTGCTGGCTTTAAGAAAGCGAAGTTACCCTCCCAGCCCCTCTCCGAGTTGGGAGTGGCCGGGAAGGAAGAGTCCCGCCGGGAAGCGGAGCCTGAAGCACAGATTAGCCGCGCGCGCTCGTTGCAATCGAAGAGGCAACCAAAACGAAGGTGGATTTGACGCAAGCGGCGCTGGGCGCTGTTCTGCGGCGCTGTTCTCTTCGGCTCTCCGCTCCCCGCGCCTTCGGCGCCCCCGCCGCGCTTGGAGTTGGAACGGCCTCGCGGTCGAAACATGCACAGGGGCGCCCCGGAGAAGAGATTTGCGTGGACTGTGCTGTACTTCGCTGCTAAGAGACGACCCGCTTAAGCCCCTTCTCCCACCACACCGTGCACCGCCTGCATCCTCAAGCAGGCCCATCAGCTGCCCGAGCTCACCATGCTCGGGAGCAGGGCAGGCCTCAGCTTCCGGAGACCTGCTCTTTATATTTGAGCCGAAAACCTCCAGCGAAAGTCAGCGAAGGTGTAACACCGGACCCCGGAGCGGTCTACGCCCGGAAGAGCCGCTGCCCGGCAAACATGCGGGGGCTTGCATGGTGCGGGTCAGGGCGAACTCCAACATGTCGGCCTGCCCAAAAAGCGCAAGGAAACAAGCGTCGCGCCCCCCTAGCGCGGCCCCCGCGTGCAGCGGAGCCTCCATGTCCACTTGTCGCACCACCGGCTTGGAGGTGGCCATCGCCGCTCTGCGCTTTCCTCTCAGCTGAAGCACACGTCACAGGTCGTTCAAAGGCTGCCAAGACCTGTGCTCTGGGCTCCAGGCGCTCTGAAAGGCCCGAACCGTTCCCTTCGCTCTGAGCCGCTGCCCTCTTGGAGCTCCTATCCGTCCTATCCTTCTCTGCAACCTCTTGAAAGGTGACAGGGCCCTATCCCTTTTTCTCTCCGCGGGTCGCCGTCGCGTCTAAGAATCCGCCATGCACGGTTCTCCTTTGGACCAATTCTCAGGATCTCTGCGGTCTCCCCCCTCCCCCAGCGCCGAAAGTCAAAAGTGGTTGAACCGCAATGCCTTTGTTTAGGCCCGATTTCGCTCGAAAGCACTGCTGGGCGTCTGGGAGGCCACAGTCGCAAATCGCTCGCTGCTCACTTCTTCCGCGCGCAAAGGAGGTGCCTCTGATTCGGGGCTTTCAAGCCGCTGTACAGCACGTGCGGAGCGCAGCCAGCGCAGCTCATGAAGGATTCTCTTCTCCTGTGAGAAGCGAGCACCGCCGTGACAGTGGCAGGAAGCACATGCAGCACGTGGTCCTTAAAACTGACTTGCTTCTGAAGTCCTGCACGGCTTGTCGTAGAGATGATGGCACATCACTGCTCCGGATCTGGGCACCGCGCAGATTAGGGGCGAGAGTTTTAAGACCCTCGCCCCACTCGGAAACTTGGCTTTCTGGCTCCTGGGCTTTTCGCGCTTTAGAAACCACATGGAACACGAGCAGAAGAGATCAGAAGCTTCCACGACATTCGCGGGTGCGGGTGTTGGGCGGGCCAAGGGGCTTCGCGGGCACCAAGGCCCCCATCCGCATGGCCGCGACCTCTTCTCGAAGAAGAAAAGGGAGAGGGTCAGAGGGTCGGAGAGGGGAGAGAAACAAGGCGGTTCGTGCAGCTCTCGCATCTCTCGCTCGGAGCGGAGAGTCTCAGCCTTGGATTTCTTCCGGTTCTTGAGCTCCCCTTCAGGGCAGAGGTGGCAGTAGCCACAGTCCTGCATGGATTTGCGGGACCCGCGGCCCACCCCCCCCCCTCAGGCCTAAGGGCGGCCACTAGCGGCTTGCCTGGTCGTTCTGGCAACCCTGCGGCTTCCAGAACCACGCGCATGGCCGACACCTCAAAGACCGCATCACTTTTCAGCGCAGCATTGCGGCATTGCGCTCTGCTGTGTCTTTGAGGAGCCCTGCTTGCCACTGCCATGTGTACTGGAGCCCTTGGAGGGCACCGTCCCGACCGTGACCTCTCCATGGAAGGACGGAAACGGGGAAGGTTGGCCGCGGTCAGAGAGCCTCCTGGTTCCACTGGATGGGCTCCGGCGAGGCCGGGTTTGGGCCGGCCCCCGCTTCTTCCAGCCTCGGCGGCCCGAGCAGCGCAGAGAGCGCAGGGGATTCGCGCATCCGCGCATCGCTCCCTCCTGAGCCTGAGACTCCGACATCTCCGCTTTCTCGGCTTCCGGTTGATCGTGCACCATCACGGGGACCCCGTTGGGAGCGGTCACCGAGACTGAGGCCTTCCTTTTCGGCGAGAAGGGTGTAGGAGGGAGCCTTTTCCCATCCTCATACAAGCTGGCGCCCGCGCTCTTCGCCTCGGCAGATGACTCCTGAATCTCTCTCGCTCTCCCTCCCTCCCTCCCTCCCTTTTTCTCAAGTGCAGGCGGCTTTGTCGGGTGCCATTTTACCTGGTGCGCCAGAGCCAACAGCGGCTGAAAGGCAAGGGCTCTTCTTCCGGTCCCACCTGTCGTGCCATTCCGGAGCTCTGTGTGGTGGGCTCCTGCGACGATGTGATGTGGCACCGTGCAGCCGTGCAACTCTCGAGCCTGCCGCAGCAGCTTGCGCGGCGGCTCCTCGCTCCAAGTAGAAAAGTAGAAAAGTGGGGGCCATGTTTGCCGCAGGGCCACGTGCCTGCCGCTGCAGCCGCATGTGCTGCGGCCGCCGCCATCTGGGCCACTCGAGCAGGAGCTTGGAGAGCCAAAGGCACGGGCCCCGCCCCCGCCTCACCTCGGAGCAGAAAAGAGCACGACTGCGACGCCTCTCTCGCTGGCGCAGAGGCACAGCGCGTAGGGTTCTTGAGGGCCCGGGCCGTGAGCCTCCGATGGCCTGCAGAGCAATCGAGATGGGCGCGTCACACAGAAGAGAGGTGCTCCCTTCCGCCCCTTGCTGCGCCTCTCCGAATGGCCAAGGCCAAAATGGTCCCAGCCAGCTCCGGCTCCCGAGGGCGTGGGCGTCGCTGGCCAGAGCTGGGCCTGCAGCTCCCCGCAAGAGCCGAGCGCACGGCGCGGCATGCGTCCCGCGTTGCGCGGGCGCGTCCCGCATTGTGCCTCCCTCTGCTCCCTCTCCGGGCCTCTGCGCCAACTTCGACTCAAGAAGGAGAAGTGAGGGAGGGACAGAGGGAAGAGAGGGGGTCCATGTGGCCCGGCCTGGTGGGGTCTGCAGGAACATGAGCGCCGCATTCGGATTTGCAGGGTACCCTGCGCAGACCAGCAAAAGAGTCACACGTGACGCGAAGCAGAGAGCCAACGCGCGCGCGCGGAGCGCGCGCTTGCGCGCTTGGAGCGCACCCTCGGGCCAGGGGGAGTGGGAGTCGTGGGACCACTGCGTCGGCGTGTAGTCCGCCCAGCGAGCCTGGCAGGGACAGCGAGAGACTCCGCATGCTGCCCGCAAGAGGAGAGGCCCGGTGCATGCGAGGTCCCGTCCCTGGCCTTGGCACAGTCGCCTCGGCGCTCTTTCCGGGAGCTGGGCCCGATGGGAGACCTCGCCAGAGGTCGCCAGCTAGCTCGGCCCTAAGCTCAGCTAGGCCCTAAGCTGGGCCCTGCTATATGGGGCTGCATCCTCTTGGTCAGCTGCTTGGTGCATGCAGGGCGACCTGCTGGAGAGATGGTGGAACCTGAGCCATTGCAGCCCAGTGCACTCGCACTTGCCCGCCCTTCTCGGGGGCCCTGCGGTTCTGGATTGGCAGCTTCGGTGCAGAGATGGCCGCCATATCGCCCTGCGTGCGCCTGCATTCGAAACTGCCTTGAGCCGCAGCGAAAGCAGACCGCGAAGGCGTGCGAAGCCGAGCACGGCACCGCCAGCGCCGCACCAGCGAGGCGACAGCGCAGCCCAGAATCCAGGACTCCAAGGAAAGACAAAGCACCCCTTCAGGAGGAAAGGCTTTGCGTGAGAGACTTCTCCTGGAACTGAGTGCTGCAATGCTTTCTGTGAGTTCTGACTTGCGGCCCGTGAGAACTCTTGAAGCTCCGTCGCACTCCGGAAGACGGGTCTGAACACACTTGGAGTCGGATCGTGGCTTCTCGAGCGGCGTAAGCCTTTTTAAGAGCTCGCTCTGCAACCTCTTTGGGCTTTTGCTCAGCTCACGTGTGGGGGATGGTGAGCACTTCTCCTCAGGCCCGTGCGGCGCATAAAATGGGGCATGGGGCATGGGGAGGAGGTTTCCTTCTCTGTCCCTTGCAGTAAATGGGCTTTAAATTAGCCGCTTAGCCTTGGCTGGTCTCCAGGAAGCCAGGCAGCGCAGAAAGGCCCTGAGCCTGAGCCCAGCGGGAACAGAGACAAGAGACTTTGAAATTGGGCCCCCTGGCCCCCTGCCTTCGGCAAGGCCGAGGTCTTCAGCGTCGCCGGGTCGATGACCAAGACCGACCTCAAAACAGGAATATCAACAAAGCTGATGTCAACTTCGTTGGCCTCACCTTTGCACCTCTGAAAATCTGTTCAGCGCAGTTCATCGAGGTTCAGACTCATGGACCTCGTAGGGCCTGGAAAGGAGCGGCAGCGGCGCGGGGAACGTCCGAGCCCGAGCTCCGTCCGAGCTCCGAGCGCGCAGTAGACTTTGCCGTCGTTGCCCTTTTGGAGCGGAAAAAGGAAAGGCACGACCGATGCGAGGAAGCAAGGAAGGGACGCATCTCGCTTCGAGAGAGGGCCCAGGCCAGGACTCCCCCGCGCCACTTCCAGCGAGCAGCGCCCACCTTTAAACAAACCAATCCAAACCAAACTGTCAAGAACGCTTTTCTCTGCCTCCCCGAAGAGCACCAGGTCCTGCGAGGAGCGCGACGTGCGTCGCGTCTTTCGACCGCTTTCCCCACAAGCACCGCACCTGGGAGGCCGGGCGGATGCAGAGCACCTCCGCTCGACTGCGTCGGTGCGACTGCGACTGCGACGAAATTAAAAGGGTATGAAAACCTTTCACAGCCTCGCTCCAAGTGCCATGTCCTTAATAATCCTTAGCGGGCTAAGCCCCTGGCTGCGACGAGGTCGGGTGCATAAGTCTTCTGTGTGCTAGTCCCTGCATGTGCAGGAATCTTGCCGGGGCCCCATTTGCTCGTAGTAGTAGTGCAACCAGGAGGGTATGCTAGGTGCTGGGCTTTAAACAATAAACGAAAGGCAGGCCGCCTCTCGACGGGTCTATTTGCGAAAGGAAAGAAGAGCAAAAAGGGGGTCGTCACTTTACGATCCCGTTTTCTGCGGTCCCCCGAATTCGGCGGAGTGAGCGGAGTAGGTATGATCCCTGTTGTTGGAAAGAACGGAAGATCAGAAGACACTCTAGACACTCTTTAGGCCCATAACTCAAAAATGGGGCCCCCGGTGCACACTTGCACAGTTAGGGCACAGCGGCGCCCAGGAAAACTCACAAGAAAGACTGTGGTCGCTGAACGACACGATTGCTGGCCGTCACTCTCACCCTTGGACTGCTGTCTTGGAGGGTTAGCCTGGGTGGTCGCTGTCCCAAACGTAGCCTGGTCTTAGCCCCTGCCTCTGCCGAGCTGGTCGTGGAGCTTGTCGTCGTTGGGCTCCTTCGGCTCCCCGGTCGCTGCTGGTGTCCCGCGTTCGGGGTCTGGTGGCTCTGCTGCCGGCGAGGTCGTTGTGGTTGTAGTTCCTGGGTTTCGCTGTGCCTGTCCTTTCCTCGGCCCGGCCTCCATTGAGGCCCCTGCGATGAAGTCGCACGGTGCTTCGATCTGCCCGCTCAACTCGTATGGTGGCGACGTATGCCCTAGCCTGTCAAGGGCAACCTGCGGATATGTGGCCTCAAGCCGCCCCCCGCTCAGACAAACGTCCACCCCTAGGCTGGGAAAGACCACCGTCTCCCAGCTTCAAGTGCCGTTGTCGAGCGCACCCCCCTTTCAAGGCAAGGATGCGGCGAACGAGTTGAGCCCTTTCTTTCTTTTTTTCTTTCCTCAGGGTTGTAGTGCAGGGGTTTCTCCCTCCACCGCGCCCAGGTGCGCCCTCGACAGGTGCGGGAGACAAGAAGCACAGCATTGCACACACCACCGAGGCAATTCGCATGGAAAGGGAAACCAAACAGAGGAGAAGTAAAGGCAGGCGCGAGTTTGCCTCGGTGGGTGGCCCTGTAAAGGCGGGTTCAGGAGGTACATAAACCAAGCAAGTGCTATGGAAATGAGTATCTGGGAGGCTCAGCGGCCCGTCATTGAATTCAGACAAAGACACTGGGTTTCCCCGGGTGCGAAAGTATGTATGCAGCTGCCTCGAGTGCAGGCTGTAACTGGAGGATCTTGGATGGCTCCGGCGGCCCGTCTGAAACTAATTTACAGGTTGCAGAGTCAAAGAGGCGGGGAGCACCCCCCATTGTACAACGGATTGAAAGGAGAGAAAGGCACTTCTTTCGTGCCTGAGGAAAAGTTTGACCCCAATTAGAGAAACGGAGCCTGAAGTCCATGCAGACATGACTGACAAGCAAACCCAGCACTCAAGGGGCTTTTCCCGCGAATCAGGATGTCTCAGGCACCGTGTTCCACTGCAAAAAAGGCTATGGGGCTTCAGGGGCTTATCCCCTGTTCACTTCAAAGGAGCCAAAGTGGGGTATTGCCCCAACGCAAAGACGGAAAAAACTCTACGGCTCTTCAGGACCTCTGGTAGCGCTGGCTGCGTTCCTCGTCCTTACTCCATTGACCGCGCTGTCTTTGGTCCTTACGGTAGCTTCGGTACGAGGCTTTTGTTGCGGCTCGGTATGCCTTCACATCTCCTCGTCACCGCTGCAGAATTCCAGGCCGTAGGGTTTTTTCCCCTCTTCGTCTGTTTCCTGAAGGAGTTGGTGCAGTCGTTGACGTTGACTCGGAGTTAGCTTCGAGGGTGCCCCCGTCGGCAGGGAGGAGCTGCGCTGCCGGGCTGGCTCCCCGATGTCGGCTCTGGGTCCTGCGGAGGGCTCTCTTCGTAGTCTTCAACGGCACTGGCTGCCGATCTTTGAGGCCGACCTCGTCGAGTATGACCAGCTCCAACCACTACGACAACCAGACGAGGAGAGTGAAGCCAACAAGGAAGCCAACATGTCGACAGAAGGGTGGGGTCCTGTTGGTGAAGGGATCCCCCCTGGTTCTGGAGAGTTGCCATCGAAGTCGTCCTCGAAGTTGCCCCCGAACTTGCCCTCGACATTGGCCTCAAAGTTGCCCTCGAAGTTGTCCTGGAAGTTGCCCTCGGAGTTGTTCGCTGATTTGTCCTCGGTGTTATTCTCGAAGTTGCTCTCGGAGTTGTCTCTTTCGCAGCTTTGTCCTAGGATGGCTTCCACTGCCCCAGGAGCCCCCCTTGGTTCCAAATGGTTGCCCTCGAAGTTGTCCTCGAACTTGCCCGTGAAGTTGTCCTCAAAGTGGACCTCGAAGTTGTCGTCGAGGTTGCCCGCTGAATTGCCCTCGATGTTGTCCTTGTTTTTGACCTCGGGTTGTCTCTTTTGTAGCCGCGTGTTGTCACAGCTCCGGGAGCTCGAGTGCTGCCCCTCGTGGCTTTTCGGTCATGTTTGCTGGCTCCTGCTCGACTCTCGCCGTACTGGTCAGATGCTTTGCTTCTCGGGGGCAGGGGCTCCCTGTCCTTGGGGTCTGTGCACCGGGGGCGGAACAAGGGCAGCAGGTGGGCTGGCCTTTTTTGAAGTCGTCGTACCTCAGGAGCAGGGAGAGCATCGGCCCCCAGCATCTCCTCCAGGAAGTCTTGGACTGGATCCTCCCCGTTGTTCACCTCGTCCATATCTCCAGGGGTTGCCCCCTCGTGTCCAGGCTTGGGTTGTGGGCTTCTTGTGCTCTTTTTGCTTCGTCGTCGTCGTCGTTTGTCCATGCCTCTTCTTCGTCTGCGGCTTCTCGGCTTACGTCTTCGACGGCGGTCACGGTCACGGTCTCGGTCACGTTCACGTTCAGCCCCCCCCCTCTCTCTCTCTCTCCCTCTCTCTCTCTCTCTCTCTCTCTCTCTCTCTCTCTCTCTCTCTCGCTCTTTTAAGCAGGGCCTGGCCTGAACCCCCTGACAACCCCGATCTCAAACGGCTTTCCACCAAACTTTCACCAATACCCGTGCGGCCCTGCGCGCAGCGCCTCGCTAGCACAGTCTGGCACGCAGTAAATGCAGCCGTCTTTGGCCTCGCGCGATGGCCGAAAGGGCCCGCTTTTTTGTCGGGGGAGGGGAGAGTTGGGGGGACATGAGGACATGCGTCCGTGATATTTTGGTGGACTCTCATTGGAGGGGACATGTCTCGGATTCTCGTTGGAGCTGAGCTGCCAAGACTCCACCCCGCCACTTGCAACCTGGAGACACCGTACGAGAGCACTGCAGTGCATGCCGTTAGCAGATTCAACGAGTCGCTTTCGCCGTCTGCTTCCAAGCGGCGGATGCCTCCCACCCAGCCTCGGAAAGGGAGCTGCGAAGCGGAGACGCGGGACGCGCGGGGCCAAGCGCCAAGTCAAGTCGCCAATCTTCGAGACTCCAAGCGCACCTGGAGCTTTGACCTCTGCGGAAAGGGAGCGGAGGCGGAGATCGGCACAGGACGGCTCGCTCTCTCTGCGCAGCTCTGCCTCTGCCTCCGTCGGCTCCGTCGGAGCAGCTTCTTCTTCCGGCTCAAGGTGGTCTTCGGGCTCCACGCCAGAGCGGGCCAAAGCCCTCGCTTGAGCCCAGCCGAAGGACTCCAAGGACACCTCCGAAGGAAACAGCAGCAGCCAAACCATGCGCAGACTGCATACATTTGCATACTGCATCTGCGCGACGCACAGGCTCAGTGCCCGATCCCTCTCACAGCACAAAGAGCCCTGTAAGAGCTCCTCCCTCTCTCTCTCTCTCTCTCTCTCTCTCTCTCTCTCGCTGCTCAGGGACTTTGCCTCTCTTCCAACTCCGGTGACCGCTCCGACTCCGGCAGCGACTCCGGGAGTCGTCGGCGTCGTCGCCGTCGCAAGCCTTGCCGGCTCCACCAGGAGCACCTCGAAAGCCACCAAACGACGACGGCGGCCCCCCCTCACAACCGCGCTTGGCCGCGCAGTCCCAACGGTTCCGTGCCTCCAGGGCATTGTACGGGATCTCAGATGGAAAGAAGCCAGGCATGAACTGCAGACGCTGCCAGAGAACAAGTGAGAGAAGAGAGAGAGTAAGTGCGTTTGTAGATGCCTGAGAGACACTGGTGTTATCACTTCACTTGAGCTACTCCCTAGCAGAGAGACGGACGCATTCTCCTAGGACTGAACAGAGAACAAGGGGGGAAGGGGGGGGGGGGGAAGACTTGCGTGCAACAAAGCGGCCATGTAGATCTGCTCGCCGCCTTTTGTGGCCACGGCTCCGCGCCTGAAAGAGAAAGCGTTGCGTCGCGAGCCCCTTCTCGGGGCTTGGGGCCCTGGGGCCCCCGGCCACTTCCTGCGCAAGTCCCCGAAGTGGCCCAGGAGCCAAGCCGTGGGCTCCGGGCCGGGAGCGATCACCAGGCAGCTGGGCGAGTCGTAAGGGGCGCCTCAAAAAGGTGGCGCAACTGCTCAGAAGCTTTGCAGGCTCTGACCTGAGAGGCCGGCAGTAGATGCGCCCGTCGCAGCCGAGCGCAGCACCTTGAGACCCAAACTCAAGAAGCCTCTTTGCAGCGGCGGTTTCGAGAGAACTCGCCTGCCCATTTGCTGTCGCTTGCAGGCAGCTCTCCGAAGCCTCGGTCAGCGGAGAGATGGGGTGGTTTCCGGTTGTCTTCGTCTTCCCCCCTTTCTCATCTTTCTCTTTCCTGGGCCGCCCACAGCTTGCCGAGCTCTTGGCCACATCGATGCGCAGCACGGCCTGCAGTCAGAAGTCTCCATGGCGCGCCACCCCTCGCTTCGCATCGCTTCGCTTCGCGTCGCTTCGCGTCGCTTCCTCCGCCGTCCAGGGGATGCAGTAAATGGCCCAGCCATCCTCCGGCAGCGGGACTCGTTCGCGACGCGAGAAACGCCGGGAGCGCTGCAGAGCCTCGGCGAGGATCCCATCCCTCCTTGCGAGGCGGCTCCGCCACGGGTGCTCTGCGCTCTCTCTGCGGATTGGCGGGGGGGGCTGACCACTTGTGCTCCGAAAGGGACGCGGCGGTGCAGCCCGTGCCGGTGGAGGTGTCCAAGAAAGACACCCGCTTGGCTAGGCAATCAATCACCAGGACCTGCGAGAACAAGCCAAGAGAAGATCCGCTCAAGCCTCAAAGACTCAAAGAGGCACGCCGGGCGTGCTTCCTACGGACTGGCAGCGCGCACTTTGGCCTGTGGATGGGTCCAGGGCACGCAGTAGATCTTCCCGTCCTTGGCCAACACGCCCCCCGACCACCTCACAGCTCGGACAAAACAAAACATAAACACACAAGGAGGCGGAGGCGCGCGCCACTCTCGCGCGCAGGCGGCGCGCAGGCGCGCGCCGCGCGTCCGAGGGCACCGCTTGTGGCTGCCCACCTCTCAGCACTTTCTGCGAAAGCGAAGCTGCCCGGATCTGCTGTAGCAGGCTCCCATCGAGCTCCGGGCATCGATGGCGTCTCCGAAGAGGGAGCTCTGCTTTGTTAGCGGATCGTAGCAGAGCACCTGGTCACGAAGGGGGTCGGCTCTGCCTTGCCGCTGCCTTGCCGCTGCCCTGCGCGGCCTGTGTCGCCGTGTCGGGGACACCTGAAAGCGCGCCACGCCGTTATTCCCTTAAGTCCGATCGCAGTGCGACATCCAAGCACTGGGCAATAAATCTTCCCGTCCGGGCCGTGAACGCCAAGGGACCAGTCCATGACATGGCGCCGCGAGGAATTACCCGGACAACGAGCTCGTGTGCTTGGCCTGAAAGTCAGAAGCCTCCTACACACTTCAACCGCGCCGCGCCGACCCCAAGTAAGGTTCCTTTGAGCGCATCGCAGATCTGCATATAAATCTGCATATAAGGCATATCTATAAGGTGCTCTACAGGTCCGGTCCGCGCGCGCCCTTTTCGGTGGCACTTGAAGTCTCGGTAACTCCTAGGGTGAGACGTCTTCCTGTGACCTAGGTCAGCCTTAGTAGCCCGGGCCGGGACGCACAGCCTGCACTCGTATGCGCCTTGGCGCTACCCCGGCAGCCTGGGCTGCGGCACGGACAAAGAGCCGCTCGAAGGCCTCTTTGTCCTCGATGGCCGCAAAAGGGAAGCTGACATGAAGACTCGCCTTTAAGGTCCCTTCGCCTTGCGCATTTGCCTCCTTCTCACTCAAGCTCGGAGCAATGCTGGGCCCGTTGAGCCCGTTGGGCCCCTGGCCGCCCTGGCCGCCCTGGCCCTGCTGCGCGGGTTCTGGCAAACTTCCGAAAGCAGCAAAAGGACTGGGACCGCTTGCCGACGCCCCCGACGCACCCGAAGCGCAGGGGCCGGGGTTGGGGCCCTCCGCTGTGGCCCAGTTCGAGGCTTCGAAAGCGGGGCTTGGGCCCAAAGGGGCACCCCACGCACCAAAGGAGTCTGGGAAAGCAGCTTCACCAGAGTCCGGCCAAGCTCCAAAGCTATCCGGGAAGCCATCTTCACTCCCCCTGCCCTGATCCCCCGAAGGATCCTTCGCTTCCTTGGACTCCTTCCCTTCCTTCCGCTTCTTCTTCCTCTCCTTCTCTCCGAGGTTGGAACCCAAACCACTGGTTTGTCGCCACATGTCTTCGGAAGCATGCGACTGCGCGGGCGAAGCCGATGGAGCAAGGGGCGCGGCTGTGGCTGCAGGCGCGGCCATGGCCGGCACAGAGCCGGAGGCAGCGGAGGTCAGTGCCGAGGCCGGCAGCGAAGGCGCGGAGCCCCGTTCTGGGCCACTCATGCTGGGAGGGCTGGGCCCACTGGCGGCGCTGGCGCCGGCCCCGCGCGCCTGCCACTGGTCCTTGACCCGCTCCATGCGCTCCAGCAGCGCAGCGATCTGGTTGAAGGTGGCCTCGCCACCATCCTGCAAAGAGAGAAAAAGGGATCAAGGGATCAAGGGAAAAGGGCTGTTCGACTGAATCCTATCCTAAGTCCATCCCAAGGCGCACCCGATCCAAGATGTCCGGCACCGCCTCTTGCAGCCGGTCCCGCAGCTCTTGGCATTCTCGGAGGGTGCCACCCAGCACTTCCGACAGGTCCTGAATGCCAGCAAAAGGTGTGTGGAAGGTCACCCCGCGAGCTAGGACTCAATGCCCCCTGCTCCGCCTCAGCACCGGGTGCCAGGAGGTCCTCCAGGAAGTCCAATGTCTCGGAGAGCTGCCTCTCGACGTGAAGGGGCCGGGACCCAAGAAGCGTTTGGATCTGATCCTTTCAGAAGGCGAAAGCTCTCTCGTGCCTCACGTCACGCTCAGTGGCATCCATCCAGCCGAGCCTTGGGGCCACAGAGACATCACACTCCTCTTAAAGGGCGTTGGTCTTTAGCGACAGCAGTTCTTTCTCAACAGCACTGTGTCCAAAAGAAGAACTTTCAGCCCTCAGCTTCCAGCATTTTATGCACATTTGAAATCCGGTCGCACGTGTTAGATAGCCACCTCTGACTCAGGCACATTTCAGAACAGCCTCAGAACCACCATCCACCTCAAGTGGCGAAGAACCAACTTGAAGTCCCAAGCTCATGCGCCAGGGTATTTTCCAGCATGATCCGTATGGTTGCCATTCGCCCATCGGGTTCGCAATTTCTGTAATCAACGTCTGGGACATATCGAGGAGGAGGAGGTCGTCGTTGTCGTCGTAGTGGCAGTAGTAGTGGTAGCAGCAGTAGTAGGAGTAGCAGTAGCAGGAGTAGCGGTAGCAGTAGCAGTAGCAGTAGCGGTAGCAGTAGCAGCAGCAGAAGCCGTAGCAGAAGCAGCAGTAGCAGTAGCAGCAGTAGCAGTGGTATTGGAATTGGTGGTGGTGGCGGCGGCGGTGGTGTTGG